CTATGCTAATGCAAATGGAATCTGAAGTGGCTATGAAACAATGGCTAACAATAATGGCTGCAGGAGCCCAGGCCAGACATTTATGGTACTCATATGGTTCCCCAGGAATGTGGAAAATTTTGGATGGGAAATGCGATCTACGACGCTGTGTCTTAAAAGCCCAGGTGTCACGGTTAAATCCTAAACTTAAATTCCCAGTAGTTCAACTGGCCGGCATAGGAACCATCCTCAATAATACTAGAATACTTCCAATGGGAAGTAGATGGGCCATATTTAAAAATAATAAACAATGTGAACCCATCTCAACTTTTTGATTGTGAAAGTCGGAGAGGTGAATGGTTATGCCCCCAGTCCATATGGAATACTGAATTCACTCAGTCCTGGCCCATTGTATCTACCCCGTAAAGAACAACATATGGTATATGGGAAAGGGGCGTTTTTGCTGGGAAGGTTTAAAAAACTCTTGTGTTATAGTAAGTGATTTTTACTGTAATAACACCGAGTTTACTTTAAATAATACTGGAATATGGTGTAATACTGAAATTATAGGAAAGATAACTTTGCCTGAGGCTCATAAAACCTATGATAATATTGATACTGAAGAACTAATATATTGGGAAATTGAATTTAATCCTCCCCATGAAGTCATTTCTATGGAAACTAATTGGCCAGAAGAAAAATTAGAACTTCTAGATAATGAAATAGTAGAGAGTCTCAATTCATCTGGCCAAACATATCATAAAGTACAAATGACAGTGGATGAAGGAGGAAAACATATAATTAGCTTAATAAAAAATTATGATAATACATGTAAAGGATTTTTTGGTTGGCTGGGATGCTTGTTCCCTTTAGATTTTTCCTTGTCTAGTATTAGACATCTTCTGTTCCTAATCACTGCTATTGGTTTACTATTGTTACTTTTGTCCATGATATGTAAATGTTATATCAGATGCAGAAAGGCAAAATGTAAGACAAACAGCAAAAAGACTCGGATCATGGTGGCTTGAAAATTAGAAATGATCCAGAATACTTTTTAAGGACATATAGGATCTGACTGCCTCCCATTTACCTGCCTTTTTAAAATATATAATTCGACCTCAAATGCCATCTAAGGTTATGGTCTTGCTCACATCCCCAGTGGTCCACCTGTTCAGCAAGAAGACATGCTGACACTAAGACATCCTAGGAATGAGCCTTCCTAGCGCCGTGGGACTCCATTATCCAACCAAAAGGTTGGTCATCAATGCATCCTTTGGATTGATTAATGACCAGAAGGGGGAAATGTGAAAGAAAAGAGCCACAAGCTAACCTGACAAGCTCAGGGAAGGCCTGCGTGGCAGTCTTGCAAACCCAGAGACTTAAGATAACCACAAAAGATGGTTTGAAAATTAAATATCTAACAGGTTATAGTAGGTAGTCATGTCCCAGATATTTCACCTGACAAAGATCAACTTTGATCTTTTACTGAGCCCCTATGCCTTCCTGCATCTAAGATAACATATCTGTGAGATGTCTGGGTAACTTCCTCAGGGCACAGCAAATGGCCTCAAGACATTCCTCATTGTTATTGTTATCAAGTTAATTGTCAACTGTTAATTACGTTAGAGTATCCTGTATCCATCTCTGTGAAAGAAGCTCATGTCCATCATTTCACCTTTACCTTATCCCAGTGGTTTCCCTGCTTCGCTCTGTTCCACCTCCCTAATCTATCACCAATGAATTTCAAGTAACTCACCTATGTCCCTTCCTTTGGTTGCAATGTATAAATATAGAAATGTAACCTGCCATTCTCCGGAGCATTATCTCAATCCTTTGAGGTTCTGCTTCCTGGCACATGTCGACAGTTTTGGCTCAAATAAACTCACAAAAAAATTCTTTACAGGTTTCAATGTTTTTTGTTAACAGCAGCATGAAGGGCCGTGGGCATGAGGCAGAGACATCAGTCAATGTGAGCACTCACCCTCTTCCTGAGCGAAGCACGCTGAGAGATGCTACACAACCACTTCAATCTTTTCCAGGAAGTAACACTTAGCAGATTTGTAACCATTTGGAAAAGAAAAATGAAAACTAAGCTTTTTGTTACATGGATCGACTTGTGCCAAATTTATGCATTTTCCCCATAAACCTTAAGTAATTTGAAACCAAATGGTAATTTCGGATTCAATTTCAAAACTCTCATAGTAGCTATAAGGCAATTTCATAAAGAAAAACACTGTCACCCACATTTCAGTCTGGGAACCTCTGCTCGCCCACCCCAGCGGGATCCCCTCCATCAAGAAGCCACACAGGGCTCCCTCGTGCCCCCACAGTCTCGCTTCCAGCAAAACGGGTGACTCCTCCTCCTCACGCCCAGGGAGCTCTGAGTCCGCATTCTGTGAAAAGCAGCCGTCCTTCCTGGGAGCACCGCCTCGCTGCCCTTCGGGAGGACTTCCTGTCTGCCCCAGGTTTGGGCTGGAGCAGCCCAGGGGGCGCCCTGACCTGACGCCCCCTCCTGCCACCCAGCACGCTCCTCGGTGGGAGGATGAGTTGGCTTTAGATGAGCAATGGCAGATAGAAATGAGATCAGAGCGCCCGGCCAGCACAGCTCAGTGCTTGAGCGTTGACCTTTGAACCAGGAGGTCACAGTTCAATTCCTGGCCGGGGCCCAGGCCCAGGTTGCGGGCTCGATCCCCAGTGCAGGGTGTGCAGGAGGCAGCCGATCCAGGCCTCTCTCAGCATGGATGTTTCTCTCCCTCCCCTTCTCCCTCCCTCTCTGAAGTCAGAAATTTATGTTTAAAAACGAGGCTGGGGCATGCAGGCGGCCCCGCCATCACTCTGAGGGCGGCCCCAGCATCCCGGGCGCTGTGTTCTCCTGTGGAGGAAGCGTGGCCTGGGACACCTCACTGCTCACGGCTTAGAGCCCACGTTGTAACCCGGCCGGAGGCCTCCCTCCACGGGGGTCTGTGCAGGAGGTCACGTGAAGCCTCTGCAGAAAGCGGCTACACGGCAGCTAATTCACTGACGGGAGCCGCTGGCTCCCTGCTCCTTCCTGATGTGCATTCCTGCACAGCAATAAGCAAGGACCCGCCCGGACGACAGCTCCCGGCGCCCTGGCGCACGGTGAAGAGGGGCGATCTCCCATTGTGTGCGGAGGTCCGTGTTAACTTGTTGATTCTTGGGGAATTATAAGCAGCAACGGCAACGAGGCACGCATCCCACAGAAAGTCCGCTTTCATATTTCATACCTAATCCACACTGCGCCTGGGGAGGGGAGGGGGGACGTATTCCTATTACCTTGTGCTGGAGATTAGAAGGTCACTTTCTGGGCCCTGGCTGGTGTGGCTCAGTGGATAGAGTGTCAGCCTGCCCACTGAAGGGTCCCGGGTTTGAGTCCAGCCAAGGTCACATGCTCAGGTTGCGGGGCGATCCCGTGTGGGGCATGCAGGACTCAGTCAATCCACGATTCTCTCCCATCACTGATGTTTCTCTCTCCCCCTCTCCCATCCTCTCTGAAGTCATAGAAATAGACATTTCTAAAAGAAGGCTCTTTACTGGGACATAATGACTCCATGAAAGTGGAGAATGAGCTTGGACTGGAGCCTCTGGTCTCCATTGTGTGTGGTTCCATGATGTCATGCTACCTTCTCTCTCTCTCTCCCTCTCTCTCTCTCTCTCTCTCTCACACACACACACACACACACACACACACACGTTCTCTTCTGGAACACGCTGGGGACTGTGGCCACGGCAGGAAATTATGTCAGATCACTAACAACCTCTAAGGACTCAAGATGTTCCTGGTCATAAAGCAAACTGAGTCTTTTCTGTGGAGAAATTATTTTTTCTAAAAACACCCTGAGATCTGTCCTACAATTAAACCTTCAGGTTATACTCTGGGGAGGGGCTCAGTGAGACTGAGGTGACTTTATCTGTCTGGGCTCCTTCTGGCATTTTTAGAATAGTTTTTACCTGAACGAACTGAAGGTTTCCTTGTTTACTCTCTAGCAAATTGAGAAAGTTAATGAATTAACATTAAAACAGGGGAATGTTTTTAATATACTCTTTAAAAGTCTAAGGTAACATGTGAAAACTATAAACTCTCTCTACTCCATCCCTGAGGCATTTGTGGAAGTGGTTCCCATACTCCGGGGACCTGGATACTCTTTCTCTATTAAAATAACTAATTAGTACCTGAAGTTCAAGTTATTTGTTCAAAAGGACGCTGAGAGCACAGCCAATGAGACTCGTGGTGGAAAATCAGATGATTAAGAGGCACAGACACAGGATAAGATCTTGTATTTGGGACAAGGGACTTGGGCCGGTTCTGGCCAGTGCTGAGCGGGGGAGACCCAGGGCTCGGTCTGACCCACCCAGGAACAAAAGCACGGCTGCTCCACAGCCTCCTGCCAGGACCCCCGTGATCACAGCAGCGGAGGCCGAGCGTCCCCCTGGGGCTCTCGGCCCCCGGCCCCCGGGAGTGGCCCAGGACCGGTGACGGGGCCTGTGTGTGCCACACAGTGACACCTCGTTCACTTAGAATCAGCCAGGACTGCCCTTCCCGGCAGCTCCTCCAAGTGTGAGTACACACAGGTGCGCGCGCACACAGGCACACAAGCATGCACACACATACACATGAGCACACACATGCACATGCCAGTGTCACCCACGCTCAGCGCACCCCACAGAGCACTGGAGGCACTGACCCTTACCGTCCCGGCATGGAAACCCCGGGCCACGTCCGCACAGAACCCTCCGCACCCCTGTGACCCAGCACCGTCCCAAACGGGGCTCTGTCTACAGCCCTGTCGGCGTGAATTTCACACACGTCACTTCAGCAGTGGCTTCCGCCTCTCGCTCTGACCCACATGTTGAAACTAGTGGAAGAGGGGTTAGTGTCACCTCTCCCTTCTCCATCCCGGTCTGCAGCGGCGGAGCCAGCAAGGCCTGCCCAGGCCTGGGTCCCCCACAGGAAACTCGGCCTGGGCCGTGAAGGCGTCCACAGGTGAGTCCCGGGCACCTACCTGGTTGCAGGTGTTGATGTCCACGCCGCCCTTCAGGAACTCCACCACCTTGTCCAGGTTGCCGGCGCGGGCCGCGCGCAGGAAGCTGGCATTGCTGTCCGACTGCGGGAGGAGGAGGAGAGCCTGCGTGAGCCGCTGACCAGGTCAACCGCGAAGGCCCTGCACGTGGAGGCCTCCCTGCGAGTGTCCGTGCCCAGTGCCCGGCCGGAGCAGGGGCCCCGCGCCCCATGCCTGTGTGGCCCAGCTGCCCGGGCTGTAGGCGGGGCCTTGAGTCCAGCTGATGGGATCGGGGCCTAAGTGCCTCAGAGCCACCGGCGCCTCACCCTCGGCCCGGCCTGGCTTTCACAGGGTCTGGTTGGCCGCCCAGCGGCCACCGTCCTGCCTCCGGGAGCAGAGGCCCTGAGGGCGGCCCTCGGAGGCGTGGCCGGGCCAGGGAAATGATGCCCCCAGTGGTCGGGGGAAACGAGATTTGACTTTATCCTGGCCAGCGTGGCTCAGTGGCTGAGCGTCAGCCCAGGAGCCAGGAGGTCACTGGTTTGATTCCCAGTCAGGGCACCTGCCTGGTTGGTGTGGGGCGTGCAGAAGGCAGCCGGCCCATGAAATTCCTGTCTCATCACTGATGTTTCTACCTCTCCCTCTCCCTTCCTCTCTCTCAATAGCAAACAGAATTCTGGCCCCGGACACACACCCGCCTGCACGGGGAAGTTGGTCCCCGGGAGGCTGCTGTCTGGGTCCTCGCCTTCCCCACGCTGCCCTCCCCCCCACCTTCCCTCCGCGGGAGGGCCCCTCTCAGGCTCTCACGCCTGAGGTCCCGGAGGGGAAGAACCCTCAGGGGTCCGAGACCCTCACGTGTCTGTGCGATTCCCACGGCCCCCAGGGCGGGGGCAGCCACAGGGGGGCCGGGGTGAGGCGGCCTCCGCCCTCCACAGCAGGGGGTAGTGCTTCCTCGCTGGGTCACGGGGCTCTGGGGACGTGGAGAGCCACACTCGAGTGGTTTCTCCCACGTGAAGCCCTGGGCTCACAGGACTCACAGGTGGAGAGCGAACACCCAGGACTAAACGGCCTCATGCTCACCCGCGTGCCACACGACCTCGCTACTCGGCCTCGGGTGCCCTGGCCGGTACCGGTGTCTGGGATCAGATCAGCTCTTTAGACAGGACCAGGGTGTGCCCAGTGCCCACTGTCCCCTTCACCCTCGGGGCTGGGCCCATGACCACCCGAGCACCCCCTGGCACCCGGGCACCCCTGCACAGCCCGGAGCACCCCATGCAGCCCAGAGCACCCCAAGGACCATGGAGCAGCCCGGAGCACCCCATGCAGCCCAGAGCACCCTGAGAACCACGAAGCAGCCCAGAGCACCCCGAGGACCACGGAGCAGCCCGGGCACCCCGAGGACCCCTGAGCAGCCCGGAGCACCCCGGGCACCCCTGAGCAGCCCGGGCAGCCCGGGCACCCCGAGGACCCCTGCACAGCCCGGAGCACACCTGAGCACACCTGTGACACACAGTGGCCGAGCTGTGCCTCAGGGACAAGCACCCACCTGGACACTAGGCTGCAGTTTGCAGGGAACCCTAAATTCCTGGGAGGTTTCCCGCCTCTGGGCTCCAGCCGCAGCACCCAGCAGGGAAACCTAAGCCTGCGTGGGTGTCACCACCTTGTACACACGCCATTGTGGATGTCACCACCTTGCACACACGCCATTGTGGATGTCACCGCCTCGCACACATGTCATTCACTGCAGAACACCACAAACGAGTGACACACGGCAGCCACAGAGAGAGGGTGACAGTATTATTCCCCAAAGGCAGTTCTCAAAACTAAACCTATTGCTGTGCGTCAAGTCTAATCGCTGGGGTGTGTGCCTGAGACTGAAGGACATCACACACCAGGCATGATCTAGGAAATAAATTAACACACGTTAAGAGGAGACTGCCTAGAAAATGCTTCCAGCTCAGGTCCGAGCTCGATGGGTACAGGAATGCCCAGTGGGTCATGCGAGCGAGGGGTCCCGCGTTTCGTCATCCACTCATGGTGGCACACCAGGAAGAAGACGATGGCCCATCACTTCTCAGCGAAGAGGAGGCTGAGAGAGGCCCGGACCACAGCACTTGGGGGGGTGGGGGACTTGGCGCGGCAGAGCCTTTACCGGGACCCCGCCTGCGAGCTGCCGGTTTGTGGGCTTGCGGGACACGGTCGCCCAGCTCAGGTAGCTGCTATCACGGCACTCGCTGAGCAGAGGCCCTGCCACGGGCCACTCACACACTGGAGAGGGGACCTGCAGAGACAGACTTCCAGGCTCAGGGGCGGGGGGGAGGGGGCGGGGAGGGGGGGGAGGCGGAGTGCACCCACCCATCAGGCCCGCCAGGTGTCTCTGCGCGGAAACTCGGCCAGATGGACCGGGAACCGGCCCAGGCCGCTCCATGGCCTCCACAAACACAACACGGACAGGCAGAGACGGGAGCACCTGGCCCCGGGGGCGGGGGAAGATTGTGGGCGACCCCGCTGTGCGGTGTCTGAGGCTCCGGCCCCCCAGGATCACCCGAGGGACCTCCCAGAGCCTTCCCCAGGCCTGGGTGGCATCCAGGCTTCTTCTGCTGTGGAAAATCACGTTTTCAAAATGCTTTTCTCTGTGCTGAGTCAAAATTCTGCCAAGCAGGTCCAGGTGCAGCCAGCCGAGGGCTATTACCCAGGACGCCCCACGTCCCACGTCCCACGTCCCAGGGCCCAGGGCCCGGAGCACAGGCAGCGGCTGAGCACGTTGAGACTCAGCTTCCCCAAAGCGAGGGGATGCACTGTAAGTTCACGTCGCAGTGCGAAGGCGAGCAGAGTCCCAGACACAGACCCCAGGGACAAGGTCAGAACAGGCTTCGAGCCGAACGCCTTGCGGTGACGGCCGGAGGGCACAGCGTCCGCCGCCACTCGGTCAGTCTGACTGCAGCTTTGCACGGGGCTCGGGGGGACCCTCGGGCTGCCGGCCTCCAGCACAGGGGCCGGACCCAGGACGGGACGCTGGAGACACAGCGCCCCCCCCACCATGTGCTTCCCACCGCGCACAGGGAGAAGCTAAGAGCTCACATCCGAGGGAAAGTGTTTTCACACGAGATAGTGTCTCCTGTGTTGCCACAGGAAAGTGCAGGGTGGGGAAACTGAGGCTCCGGGGCTCGTCGCAGACACACGTCCCCCACCCGTGGCCCTGTGCCCAGGGCTCTGCTGCAACAGGGACGCACGCCGAGCCCACAGGGTCAGTCGCCACAGGGGTTGTGAACCCGCTCCCCACAGCCAGAGAGGGTAAGTCCCTCGTGGGTTCTTCGGGCCCAGTCCTGCCGTGGTTCCTGATGCCAGAGAAACAGAACAGGTCCTGACACCCCCAGGAGGACGCGGGCGGGTGGGGAGTGTGCAGCTGGGGTGCCACGCCTCTCCCCAGGTGGTATTCCTCAGGGCTCTGGGCTGGAATTACACGAGGTGGGAAACTGTGGAGGGTTATTTATTTGTTCGTTAATCTTCACACAGATACTTTCCCCTGGGTTTTTAGAGAGAGTGGGAGAGAGAGGAATATTGATGTGAGAGACACATAGACTGATTGCCTCCTGGGCCAGGGAACAGGCTAACTACTGAGCCCACCGCCCAGGACTGAGGGGCCACTTTTTAAAGGAAATAATGATGTATCATGGATACGTGGACCCGTGCATGATGCACACAACCTCTTCACAGGAAGTTGTTGGATGTCTTATTTCTGATAAAACACGCTTCTCCATTTGTAAACCTGGGGGAAGCTGGCCGTGACAGTGGTTTTCAGAAAGAACAGCGTCGCAAACCTTCCCAAGAGCGAGCGTTTTGCTGGACGGCTCCTTCGGGGCTTCCACCGATCTCCCTTCTCAGCCCAACGACCTGGAAACAGCACAAACCTCCGTCCCCGGCGCTGTCACCGTCACTGCGGCCCCGAGAGCCGCTCTGTGTTTCTGGGCAAACGATCGGATGCCAAGACGGAGGACAGGGTGTGACTGGCGGCTGTGTCACTGGAGCCCAGGAGTCGCCCGGTATCTCATTCGTAACTGAGGTCGGTGAAGAGGAAAAAGCAACCAACATCTAGAGCAAAGGCAATGTCGGCAACATTTACACTCCATCAGAGCCCTCTGGGCGCACAGCCGCTGCTCTGGCCCCGCCTGCATGCAGCTCTGGACCTTCCATTCGCTCAGACCCGCCTCAGGGACACGGTAACTCTCGCTCCTCGGACCCGGGCTTTAAGGAAAGGCACAAAAAGGTGCCTCTCGGTGGCAGAGCCCACACACAGGAGGTGCGTGTGAGCTCTGAACGGCCCGGCAGCTACAGTGCGGACGATCGGTGGGCCATGACAACGCCCCAGTCCCAGGGACAGCCTTTCGCTGGGCACGAAGGCACGGGAACTGCAGAGCACCTCCCGTGCAGACGGGCTTCCTGCGTCACCGCTAAAAGTGCATTAAGCCCCAATCAGCCACGGGAAGCGGTGAGCACGCAGGTCCCTGTGGGAAGCAAGCAATGTGGCCGCCAAACCAGCCCGCCCAGGGGAGGGGGTCCTGGCTCCGTCACGTGTGACCTTGGACAAGCCGCAGAATGCCGTGGGACTACGCTCGCTCCACGGAGCAGAAGAAAGGCTATGGAGGCTACTGCACAGTCCAGATAAGTGATTACGTTTGCTCGGAGGAGCTTCACTGTAAGAAAGGCCATGGCTCGCATGTCAGATACTGACTGCTTGTGTGATGATTACTCCTGTGTTCACAGCAAAATCTCCCATGAAATCCCTTTAAAAGCCCACCATTGCATATTATTTTGTTTTTAATATATTTTTAATAACTTTAGAGAGGGAGAGAGAGAGAGACGTCAATGATGAGAGAGAATCACTGATCGGCTGCCTCCTGCACGCCCCACGCTGGGAATCAAGCCCACAACCCAGGCATGTGCCCTCACCAGAGATTGAACCATGACCTCCTGGTTCATAGGTCAACGCTCAACCACTGAGTCATGCTGGCCGGGCCACCATTGCATTTTATGTACAACTTGCTACAGAGAATAATCATCCCAGGAAATTTATGTTCCTTTATAGAATAACTAGAGGCCCAGTGCAC